AGCCTGATGAAAAATTCAGCACGATGGCCTGTTTGTTTCCTCCTTTCACCAAGGACAGTGAAATTGGCACCAGTGCACCAGCTTGTGCTTGGGCACCAACAGTCTAGAGCACTGTTCCTCAGACTGCAATGTTCTTAGGGGTCTGAAATTTCCCTATTAGAATTTTAATTTTTTTTTTCACATGACGATAATCTCACATGAGTAGCAAAAGCATATTCTGAATCATCTTACCCAGAAAGGCTATGTGCTCCACATGTGAAGGTCTCACAGTACTTCATATTTAAGAAGAACAGTGGAAGAACTGAGTCATCACAGGGTACTTAATGATATAGATACACAGTGTTCAGAAGAACCTTTGTCGTAACAGTCTATACTCTATCTATTGTTGGTGTTGGCCACCGACTCACAGCAACCCACGCAAAATGGAACAAGGTGCCGCCGAGTCCTGCACCATCCCCATGGATAACTGCAGATCAGACCCGTTGGGATCCACAGGATTATCTTAGCTGATTTTCAGTAGATCACCAGGCCTTTCTTGTTAGTCTGGAAATCTTAGTCTGGAAGCTCCACTGAAACCTGTTCAGCATCATAGCAACACAGATCCACTGACAGATGGGTGGTGGCTGCCCTTGAGGAATCAAACCCAGGTCTGCCACATGGAAGGCGAGAATTCTACCACTGAGACACCAATACCCTCTATTCTAGTCATGTGAGCTAATGTGTTGGGTAACCCCTGCCTTTGTACATAACTATGTACACCAATTTGTTACCGTAAGTATAATAGAAAATAACCAATAAAGAATATTTCTGGTCCCATTTCAACAATCATTGAATCAGATACTCATTCAATGTGCTGCGATCATAACCTTACCTTTAGTAAAGAAGACAGCTTCACACAATTAGCTGATGTCGTACTAAAATTGGCATTTGAAAATTGATTTCAACCAAGTTTTTATTTAATAGGAGGTCTGATTTTCCTACATTAGCAAAGAAAGCTTTGAAATTATTAATCTTATTCCTACAATTCACTTGTACGTACAGAAATGCTCTGAACTCGCACCATTCAAGTTAACAAGGCGAACTGATTATAGGACTGGATCTCAAGCTTTGCATTTCTCCTATTAACAGTGATTTAGGCTTTAGCAAAAACACCATCTACTCTGTTTGATTAATATTGTTATTTTGAGTAGTGCTGGTATTGCAGGAATGAGGAATGTATATCTAACTTTATGTGTGCATGTTGTATTATAACAAAAAGATGTAAGTCAACACCAGGGATGCACAAAGACAAATCTCTCCCTGTAAAAGAGGTCTGGACGTTTCTCAAGTTTGAGAGGCACTCCTCTCATGATTCCTGGAATGCTTCCCCTCGTGTAAGAAGCAGTGGGGCGGGTCAAACCAATTAAGTGTTCCTAAAAACAGAGCTCACCAAATACCACGGCTGCAGAATAACAACACCAAGAGCCAGCCAGCAGCTTAGAGTGGCGCACCAAGAGGAGTGACCCCAGGGGGCTCCAAGTGAAAAGCTCCTATTTCACATCCTCTAATAAGTAGCACTTTTCTTTGACACTGCGCCCTCTACCACAACCATTGAGAATGACATACCTGCCCCACTTAAAGGGTGAACTCCCTCCTCCAGCTTCTAGCCTAGCTTGCAGCCAAATGATCAGTCAGGCACTCCCATGGGATAGTCGGGCGTTTACCTTAAGATCTATAACACAGTTTGACCTTTTTTATGCTGAGGTAAACGCACCACCTGTCACCTCTGAAAACTCCGTCTCAGCGTTTAGCACATCTGGAATCAGCCTTCCTCCCCTATAAATGTAGTCCTGAGATTAATGTTGAACAAGAAAGAAGGCTAAGGTATTCTGCCCCTGATTTCCACTTACTGACAATTCCCACTCAGCAGCAATGTTCAGCTTCCACATGTGAATACCTGAACACTTCCCTGTCAGGAACATTACGCTTAGATTTGCCAAAACCAAGCATTGGAACACCTTGAAGTACATTTTAGCTTCATTCGACTCCCCAGTGTGTAGTTGTTCCTCTCTGTGCCCTCCATGGGCAGAATCAGAAGTGAAGAATCGAGACTTTCAAAACGTTTGGCTGCACAGCGTAAGTTGGTTCATTCACATAACTACCTCGGACACAGTTTGAGAGTCTCGTATTTTCATGTCTTAGCATTTTAGCCACGAGTTTTAGTGTTTCAGGGTCAGAATTGGAGCCATAAACTGAAATCCTAGAAACTCATAAATGCACAGGAAAAGTTAAAAGTTGCCATCTTTCCCAGAAAGGTTAAACTTCCAAGAAACAAACAGGAGGAAGAGCGCACGCAAAACATCTGGTCTTGAAGCTAACTGAAGTATGCCTACAATTGAGGAGAGGTAAGTCATGCCACATAAGATCCCCATTTCACAAAAATGATCTTCCTATTAACATATGGACATGAGCCTTGTACTTCTTGAGTTCAAAATATGGACTCTCTTTAACCCTAGTTAAGGAGTCCCTCAGTGGCACAAATGGTTAAGCGCTGGACTATTAACTGAAAGGCTGGCAGTTCAAACCCGCCCAGAGGCACCTCAGAAATAAGGCCTGGTGATCTGCTTCTGAAAGGTCATAGACTTGAAAATTTTATGGAATGCAGTTCTACTCTGCATCCATGGGGTCGCCATGAGTCAGAATAGACTTCAAGGCAACTAACAACAACAATAACCCTCGTTAAGGCATTGGCGCTTCAGTGGTAGAAGCCTCAACTTCCATGCGGGAGACCTTGGTTCCATTCCCAGTCAATGCACCTCACGTGCAGCCACCACCCATCTGTCAGTGGAAGCTTGCATGTTGCTATGACATGGATTAGGTTTCAACAGTTTCCAGATTAAGACAGACTAGGAAGAAAGGCCTGGCAACCTTCTTCCAAAAATCAGTTAATGAAAATCCTATGCATAACATTCTGATCTGCAACTGATCATAGAGATGGTGCAGGACTGGGCAGCATTTCTCTCCATTACGCATAGGGTCGCCATGAGTTGGAGGCCAACTGGTCGGCAGCTAACAACAACGTAACCCTAGTTACACAAAAAACATATCGCTCAAGGGCACTGACTACAGAAGTGAGGATAAAGAAGACTACTTCACAGAAAGACCACTTCACATTATATTTAATTTCGCACATAAGCACAATTTGGTAGAGTCCACACTTGCCATACTGCACTGTTTATTTAAAGACTGCCTCTTAGTCATAGTTCCTGTGGTGTGTGCCAGGATTTAACGGCAATGTGATTGTATCATAGACATCCTGGCACTCCTCACTTTACCTCTGAAACCAGTTTTGGTGACTGACACTGCTTTCTTCGTGGCCTTATCGGCCTCTTCTCCCCTTCCGATTGTGGATCTGATCTCCTGCCCAGCATTCCTGTGTTTAGACTGTCTGGCTGAGGGCATTTCCCTTCTCTGCTTAACAAACAGGTTTGCTTAACCTTTGGATTTTTTTGTTTGTTTGTTTCCGACACAAGGCTGAATGCCCCACTTTCTGGGAAGTTTCTAGTTGTTTCAGGGAGATCCTAGTTTTTTCAGGGAGTTAAGCTTCCCGTTTTTCGAGGTGAGTGCCCAAAGTGAATGTGAGATCAGCAGAATCATAAAAACAATTACTGCTTCCCTAGAGAAAGTGGCTTTCAAAGAAAATGTTGTTGTTTGCCTATATGTTTGATAAGAATGAACAGAAAAGAAAATAGAAGTCCTCCAGTTCTTCTTCATGCCATTCTTCATGCCCTTGCCCCAACTTCATCTGCCAAATTAGTTTTCTATTAGATGATTCTTAATAATGTACTCTTTTCACTAACAACTATTAGAACTTCAGCACTCATAACTAAATGTAAAATAGTAATTCCTTCCTAATTGGAATGTTTTACTACTTTATTATTGCCCTTTGTGCTTTACTCTTGCATATGGAATTTAACTACACGAATACATCTTCCTAAGCACCTCGCAAAGCCAGCTTTACTTTATCATCTTCCTCCAAGAAGTGGAACACTGTATCCCATAAACAGGACCGGTAAAGGCATATCTGAGCCAACCTTTTCCTTGGCTGCCTTTCAAAAAGTTGTTTAAAACAAGATATGCTCTTGAACTGGAAAAAGGCATTACACATGATAACCTTGGAAGGCAGCTACTTGCTTTGCCCAACAAATATCATTGCACAACACTGTGAATTTGTGTGGAGTGCTGTCGTCAGTTACAGGACAGAGGCATGCCACCAAAATGGCTAAATTGAGAACAAATTTAATTTAAATGGAGCATGATCATATCGAAATATATTATACTGAATATGACTATAAACACTCAACAAGTGTATGATAATTATGAAAAGTGTAATGCAAAACTCTTTATTCTGTGAAATAACAAGTGATTATAGTTATTATCCCTAAACCTCACCAGCTGATTCCTAACAGTAGTACTTGCTTTCAGAATCACTTTTCTGGTCTTAGTGAATGAATTGTCTGGAGTCATCCATACCATTCCTCCACTACAGCCTGTGCTACTGAAACATTTATTTTTCTCCAGAAGAGCTAACTAAATTCCATAAAAACAGAACCATTAACCACTGACACCTTGACACCAAATTTACCTAGTTAAACCAACCAAATCAGATCCTACCCTCTTCCCCCTCCACAAGAAGATAAAAGCTTACCTTTTTCTCACAGTGTGTTAAAACAGACACATAAGAAAGCACAGATTCAGGCCAACAAGCAAAAGTAAATACCAGGCCTCAATGGAATGGGTCCACAGATACATAAGGTCTAACAAAAAAAATGACAATACAACCCAAAGAATGCATATTACTTTGTTTTGATTGAAGTTTGCTTCTTATGTGAGAGGAAAGATTGTGAAGAATTTTGTGAGCTGGAGTTTTCTCAAGCTAACTACAAGGCTGCCAAATGCAGTTTTTGCAGAATTCATCTGCTAAGAGTGTGGTGTCAATGTTACAGTGGAATCTCGGAGGGATGGATTCTGTTAACTGCTACTCCCCCAAGTACTCCCACATCACCAGATGGTAAGATAATGATCAGGACATCTTGTTCTCCAAGGCATGAGCCCCACAGCAAGGAATTTCTCCCTATTTTAAACATGCTCAAATAACATCATCAGGAGTTCCCTGCTTTCCTCAGCCATCATATGTGTAAGGTTCCTCATGGTGGGAACTACCCGTTGTCTGAGCCCACAGTGAAAACTTGGCTTGGAGGAACCTCCCTGAGTAAAAATGACCCTTCCCTTTATGGTTGCTCCATGCCCTGTACTCCCTGTGCTTGCAGCATCTTTTCTACCTCAGTCGTTACCACCGACACATCTTCTAGTGGAAACACAACTCTTGATGACCTTGTGCCTGGGTTCCCCAACTGCAACACGGAGCAATGGTAATCCTTCCCAACTTGTAGGAATAAAGAGTTGTAGGCTGCTCTTTTCATGACATAGCAATTATTTCAATAATAAGGATTCCTCGGCTACTTTAATTCTTTTAGCTAATGCAACTCAAAATGCATAATGTACTTGGAATTAATAAATTCTCCCAACATCTTTGAGAGAACAGAATTATTGCTCCATAACTATGTGTTTAGACAGAAAGAAAGATAAGTGACATGACATGACATATAATAATGAATCCATGGGGAAAAAAAACAAACTTAAAGTCCTTTTACCATTCTCTTCCATTCTGCTTTCAAAATGTAGAGTCCCCATTGAATTAAATGGGCAAGCATTTATTCTAGTCTTATTTCTCTCCCTTATAAGTCTTCTTTGAACATTTCTAACCTGAGCAAGGTCTTATCATAAGGAAAGACGTACACCTAAGCATGATGTGTACAAAGTTAGAATCAAATCCTGACCCCAAAACTGAAAATTTGTCTGACAGCTGAAAATTAAATTCAGAATTATTATATTTTTTAAAAGACCTGCAAAAGGGTCTTGCCCTCCCCTTAAGAAATTCAGTACCCAATGCTTCCCTATAAATAGTTGTCAATAAACACAACTGCTGCAAATGTATTCAGTAAATGTTAAGGTCAAAGGCCTTCACTGTTTATTGCCTTGTAAACTCAAAGACAAGTGAATTTATTGCTTGAATGAGTTTCAGAGTATTGGCCTTCATAAAAGTTCTGAATCCCAGGTACAAAATGCTCCATCAATTCACACCAAAGCTATTCCACACAGAACTTAGAGACCGCCCACCATTGGATTCATAATTCAAACACGTCCTGGAAAGTGTATTGTTTGCCATGTTGCATAGATCCCTGTGGATTAGTGCTGAACTGCGCCTGTCATTATTACAAGAACTTGCTTCAACCAAACTATAAATTGCTGCTGTTTCTAAAACAATATCACAAATTAGCCTATCAATGGAAACTCTCCAAAATATAATAGAAAAGATGTGAAGACCGGGAGAATTTATCATTTCCCTCTAATCTTCACATAAGAAGAATGTCTATAATCTCCTTGATACAAATTTTATCAAATTCAAAAGAGAAGGTCAACTTTTCATATCATATCACATGGGAGTATAAGGGCTGCTTTAGATCATTAAATTTTGGTATTATTCAAAATCTAATTGCTCTAACCTTTCTGCCTGTCATTTGGCAGTTTTATTTATCAGTATCCCTAGTAGAAGCAGCACAAGGGAAGGTCATGAGACAACTAGTAAAATTGTTACTTTTAGAAACTCCCATAAAATATTTGAGAAGCTCAAATTAATAATTTAAGGATAGTTTTAAAATTATGTACACATTCTATTGGTCTATGTTAAAATTTTCCTTATCATATGGATATTTTTAAGTTGGGTTTATTTCTATAAATAAGGCCGACTGTGGCGCCAGGACTGCCAGGACTTAACGTAAATGTGGATCAAGGCAATGTAATATATGAAGGTTATGATATTAATGAAGTCCCTGGGTACTGCAAATGGTTAACACAGTCAACTGCTAACCGAAAGGTTAGAGATTCAAGACCACCCAGAGGCACCTCGGAAAAAAAGCCTGGTGATCTACTTCCAAAAAAATCTGTCTTTGAAAACCTTATGGAGCATAGTTCTACTCTGACACACCTGGGGTCACCATGAGTCAGGGTTAACTTGACAGCAAATGGCGGTGGTGGTGAATGATATTAATACCAGGAGTGTAATATCCATCATGAAGTCTGAAATAAAATACCCAACGCAATCCACCGATAGTAAAAATAAAATTACCCTGGACTTCTGGTAGTCTTCCTGCCATGATGGCTACAGCCTCTAAAGAGTGTGGCTGAAATCCTACTTCACATAAACCTGAATTAAAATAACATTAAATATCTTCCAAATGTAGAGTATTAAAAAGTATCACATATGCACCAATCCCACGATAAAATCCAGATTTGGGCTTTGTGTTGGATTATGTCATTTTTTGACATTACCCAAGGAAGAGTTGGATTCTTAATCTATTTTCTTTCAGGTGAAACACTGGATTATAGCACTTTTGTCCTTAATAAATTCCCTTCATCCTGAAAAATATTAAACCACTCTCTAATTTTCTCCAAAGTATGATCTTAACCAGGAGTTTCATAATGGTATAATTGGAAGATATTAGGGTACATTTCTGCTTTCTTTTTTAAATCAAATTAGCTCTGTGAAAATTAAACATATATGATGACCTTCAAACCACCCTAGGTAAAAAAGAATGTATTCATTTAAAAAATGTTTTTTGAGTATGTGCTCTGAATTACTGAGATGATGAAGACAGGAGCCAGCTCTCCAGGAATTGAGAGACCACCAGGGTGGGGAATCTGGAGTGTAAACAGATAATTACAATGCAACATGGCAACAGTAGAGGTACTTCTGAAACCTAGGGGAGTTTAGAGGTGGGCAGGCAAAGCAGAAAGTAATAACTCCTCCTGTGCATCCTTATTTTCCTTAATTCCTAGTACATCATCTCCCCATGAGATAGCCATATAATGAACTGACTTAAATTCTAATTATTTTCATGCAAAAAGCCTTTCTATTAACCTTGAACAAGATGCAAATAACATATACAGTGTTTACAAATCTGGATTCTCTACATAAGCTGAAATGGATCACTTTTTAGAATGTATCTTCTGGAAGTCAGCATGAAAATTCTACTCCGTTACTCTTAAAAAGTTATGCATGTAGGCATTTATCCCAGAGATATGAAAACTTATGTTCACACAAAAACCTGTACACGAATGTTCATAGCAGCCTTAGTCATAACAGCCAAAACCTGAAAACACACAAACATACTTCAACAGGCAAATGGTTAAACAAACCATGGTACATATATACTGTGGAATACCACTCAGCAATAACAAGGCGCAAACTATTGATACAGGCAACAACTTGGAGCTATGCTGAGTGGAAAAAGCCAAACCTAAAAGGTATAATTCCATTTCCACAACATTTCTGAAATAACAAAATTTTAGAAATGGAGGACAGGGGAGTGGTTGCCAAGGGCTAGGGAAAGGAAGTGACAGGAGAGAGTTGGGTATAGTTATGAAAGGGCAATAGGAGGAATCCTCATGGTGCTGTAACTTTTCAATAACTTGACTCTGGTGGTAGATACACAAACTTACATGTGATAAAACTGTACAGAACTAAATATATGTGAAGGATCCCTAGTGGAATACAATATCGGAAGCAGACCTTTCAGTTAGCAGCCAAGTGCTTTAACCACTGTGCCATCAAGGTTCCTTCCATAAAGATTACAGCCTTGGAAACCCTAGGAGGCAGTTCTGCTCTGTCCTACAGGGTGGCTAAGAGTCGGAATTGACTTGACGGCCATGGGTTTTGTATTTTTAAAATATATGTGCATGCACACACACAAGTACAGTCAAAACTGGGGGAATCTGAGTAAGATCAGTGGGTTTTATCAATGTCAACATCCAGGTTGTGAGAATATATTATTATTGTTTTGCAAAATGTTGGCACTGGGGAAATTGAGTAAAGTATAGACAGCTCTATGTTATTTCTTACAACTGCATATGAATCTACAATTAGCTCAATAAAACTTCAATTAAAATTTTTAAAAAATTAAATTGAAAGTCAGATGTTTTCATATACAGGTAGTCCCCAACTTACGACGGAGTTCTGTTCCAACAACTCTGTCATAAATCGGTTTTGACATAAACTGAATACCTCTTTTTTTTTTTTAAGTTTTCACTATTATTGCCTTTTATTATCAGTATCTTTATAAATCTGATCTTTGCCTTTGGGGGTTGGAAACATTACATATAAACATCTGCAAGTGAACATCTGAGAATGATAGCATCGGCAAATTATGCACTGCAACATTGTATGTACATATTACTAACAATAAGATGTACCAAAAAAAAAAAAAAAAGACGGTCTTAAGTGCTGTGTGTTGTAACTCAAGTATGTCGTAAGTCGAGGACTACCTGTACAGTAAAACCTGGGAAAGCTGGAACCTGTGTAAGGCGGAAACTGTCAGAGAAGGAAAACTCAAATATTTTCCACTAAACAGACAGTGATAGAAAAGATGACTGCACCCTGTCAAAGGCAGAAAACTTGCAAGACCCAGAAAAACAAAACAATCCCATCGAGTTCCAGCTTTCACAGGTTTCACTATAGTATTAAATGATATGGACACAATGGATGAGACTTCACTAGCATGTACCTTGTAAACATAAAAAAGAAAAGCATCATCAACTCTGATCTCTCTATCGTTTTCTCAAAAAAAAAAAAAATTCACCCTAGCTGGATTATTACTTGAAAGACCCTACCTTATACTTAGAGAATGAGTCTGAATACCTCTGCTAGGTCTGACGGATTTTTCTAAGCCACTTCAGAGGGACTATTCTCATTCATGAATCTCACTGGAGGGCAACGAGGAAGGTGAATTTAATTTTCAATCCATTTTGATAGCTGGCATGATAGATAATTATGACGTTGGCGAAGAATATTGAATATACCGTGGACTGCCAGAAAAACAAACAAATCTGTCTTGGAAGAAGTACAGCCAGAATGCTCCTTAGAAGTGAGGATGGCAAGACTTGGTCTCATGTACTTTGGACATGTTATCAGGAGGGACCAGTACCTGGAGAAGGACATCAGAGTAGAGGGTCAGCGAAAAAGAGGAAGACCCTCAACAAGATGGACTAATGCAATGGCTGCAACAACGGGCTCAAGCATAACATCAATTGTGAGGATGGCGCAGGACCAGGTAGTGTTTTGTTCTGTTGTACATGGGGTCGCTATGAGTCAGAAGCGACTGGAAGGCACCTAACAACAATAGCATAATGGATAATACAGTCTTCATTAACTAACTTATGATCTGGTGCACCCTAGCTTTCAATTTTCAAAATGACACAAAAACTAAGATGTTGCAGGACATAAAGGCATCAATTGAACTAAAGTGACCTGCAT